CTTCATTAGCAGCATTTGGTCCAACTAATATATGAGTATTATATAAACCTTTCTGACCTTAGCAAGCAATAGCTTAAACTATTTTATTTGGCCCTTCTTCTAATTGTCACAACATCTGGTCTTTGTGCTGTTAACCTCACACTAGTGCCCACTAATGTTACTAGTGACTCACACTAGTGCCCACTAATGTTACTAGTGCCTCACACTAGTGCCCACTAATGTTACTAGTGCCTCACACTAGTGCCCACTAATGTTACTAGTGACTCACACTAGTGCCCACTAATGTTACTAGTGACTCACACTAGTGACTCACACTAGTGCCCACTAATGTTACTAGTGACTCACACTAGTGCCCACTAATGTTACTAGTGACTCACACTAGTGACTCACACTAGTGCCCACTAATGTTACTAGTGACTCACACTAGTGCCCACTAATGTTACTAGTGACTCACACTAGTGCCCACTAATGTTACTAGTGACTCACACTAGTGACTCACACTAGTGCCCACTAATGTTACTAGTGACTCACACTAGTGCCCACTAATGTTACTAGTGACTCACACTAGTGCCCACTAATGTTACTAGTGACTCACACTAGTGCCCACTAATGTTACTAGTGACTCACACTAGTGACTCACACTAGTGCCCACTAATGTTACTAGTGACTCACACTAGTGACTCACACTAGTGCCCACTAATGTTACTAGTGCCTCACACTAGTGCCCACTAATGTTACTAGTGACTCACACTAGTGCCCACTCATGTTACTAGTGACACACTAGTGCCCTCTAATGTTACTAGTGACACACTAGTGCCCACTAATGTTACTAGTGACACACTAGTGCCCACTAATGTTACTAGTGACTCACACAGTGCCCACTAATGTTACTAGTGACTCACACTAGTGCCCACTAATGTTACTAGTGACTCACACTAGTGCCCACTAATGTTACTAGTGACTCACACTAGTGCCCACTAATGTTACTAGCGCCTCACACTAGTGCCCACTAATGTTACTAGTGACTCACACTAGTGCCCACTAATGTTACTAGTGACTCACACTAGTGCCCACTAATGTTACTAGTGACTCACACTAGTGCCCACTAATGTTACTAGTGACTCACACTAGTGCCCACTAATGTTACTAGTGACTCACACTAGTGCCCACTAATGTTACTAGCGCCTCACACTAGTGCCCACTAATGTTACTAGTGACTCACACTAGTGCCCACTAATGTTACTAGTGACTCACACTAGTGCCCACTAATGTTACTAGTGACTCACACTAGTGCCCACTAATGTTACTAGTGACTCACACTAGTGCCCACTAATGTTACTAGTGACTCACACAGTGCCCATTACCGCGACTACTTTCATGTCCCAAAAATTGGGATTCTTGCTATTGTATGTGTGGAGGCTGGCTTGTACAGGTGTGTGTGTGGAGGCCGGCTTGTACAGGTGTGTGGGTGGAGGCCGGCTTGTACAGGTGTGTGTGTGGAGGCCGGCTTGTACAGGTGTGTGGGTGGAGGCTGGCTTGTACAGGTGTGTGTGTGGAGGCCGGCTTGTACTGGTGTGTGTGTGGAGGCCGGCTTGTACAGGTGTGTGTGTGGAGGCCGGCTTGTACAGGTGTGTGTGTGTGGAGGCCGGCTTGTACTGTTGTGTGTGGAGGCTGGCTTGTACTGGTGTGTATGGAGGCAGGCTTGTACTGGTGTGTGTGTGGAGGCAGGCTTGTATTGGTGTGTGTGTGGAGGCAGGCTTGTACTGGTGTGTATGGAGGCAGGCTTGTACTGGTGTGTGTGTGGCGGCAGGCTTGTACTGATGTGTGTGTGGAGGCAGGCTTGTACTGGTGTGTGTGTGGAGGCCAGCTTGTACTGGTGTGTGTGTGGAGGCCAGCTTGTACTGGTGTGTGTGTTTGGAGGCTGGCTTGTACTGGTGTGTGTGTGGAGGCTGGCTTGTACTGGTGTGTGTGTGGAGGCAGGCTTGTACTGGTGTGTGTGTGGAGGCAGGCTTGTACTGGTGTGTGTGTGGAGGCTGGCTTGTACTGGTGTGTGTGTGTGGAGGCTGGCTTGTACTGGTGTGTGTGTGGAGGCTGGCTTGTACTGGTGTGTGTGTGGAGGCTGGCTTGTACTGGTGTGTGTGTGGAGGCAGGCTTGTATTGGTGTGTGTGTGGAGGCAGGCTTGTACTGGTGTGTGTGTGTGGAGGCTGGCTTGTACTGGTGTGTGTGTGGAGGCTGGCTTGTACTGGTGTGTGTGTGGAGGCTGGCTTGTACTGGTGTGTGTGTGGAGGCAGGCTTGTACTGGTGTGTGTGTGGAGGCAGGCTTGTACTGGTGTGTGTGTGGAGGCTGGCTTGTACTGGTGTGTGTGTGGAGGCCGGCTTGTACTGGTGTGTGTGTGGAGGCCAGCTTGTACTGGTGTGTGTGTGTGGAGGCTGGCTTGTACTGGTGTGTGTGTGGAGGCTGGCTTGTACTGGTGTGTGTGTGGAGGCAGGCTTGTACTGGTGTGTGTGTGGAGGCCAGCTTGTACTGGTGTGTGTGTGTGGAGGCTGGCTTGTACTGGTGTGTGTGTGGAGGCCAGCTTGTACTGGTGTGTGTGTGTGGAGGCTGGCTTGTACTGGTGTGTGTGTGGAGGCTGGCTTGTACTGGTGTGTGTGTGGAGGCAGGCTTGTACTGGTGTGTGTGTGGAGGCAGGCTTGTACTGGTGTGTGTGTGGAGGCTGGCTTGTACTGGTGTGTGTGTGGAGGCTGGCTTGTACTGGTGTGTGTGGAGGCTGGCTTGTACTGGTGTGTGTGGAGGCAGGCTTGTACTGGTGTGTGTGTGGAGGCTGGCTTGTACTGGTGTGTGTGGAGGCTGGCTTGTACTGGTGTGTGTGGAGGCAGGCTTGTACTGGTGTGTGTGTGGAGGCAGGCTTGTACTGGTGTGTGTGGAGGCTGGCTTGTACTGGTGTGTGTGGAGGCAGGCTTGTACTGGTGTGTGTGTGGAGGCAGGCTTGTACTGGTGTGTGTGGAGGCTGGCTTGTACTGGTGTGTGTGTGGAGGCAGGCTTGTACGAGTGTGTGTGGAGGCTGGCTGTCATCTCAAGAATGGTAAATAAAAATTCCCTAGACAAAAGATTCATTTTATTTAAATCAGTCAAAAACATTTTTGTAGCTGTCAACATTTGCATTTCTGAGGCACTGGAAAGTTTTATTTATTAAGCTGTGACAACCCTGGGAACATTACACACCTGTGACAACCATGAGAACATTACACATCTGTGACAACCATGGGAACATTACACACCTGTGACAACCATGGGAACATTACACACCTGTGACAACCATGAGAACATTACACACCTGTGACCACCATGGGAACATTACACACCTGTGACAACCATGGGAACATTACACATCTGTGACAACCATGGGAACATTACACACCTGTGACCACCATGAGAACATTACACATCTGTGACAACCATGGGAACATTACACACCTGTGACCACCATGAGAACATTACACAGCTGTGACAACCATGGGAACATTACACACCTGTGACCACCATGAGAACATTACACACCTGTGACAACCATGAGAACATTACACACCTGTAACAACAATGGGAACATTACACACCTGTGAAAATCATGGGAACATTACACACCTGTGACAACCATGGGAACATTACACACCTGTGACCACCATGAGAACATTACACACCTGTGACAACCATGAGAACATTACACACCTGTAACAACAATGGGAACATTACACACCTGTGACAACCATGAGAACATTACACACCTGTGACAACCATGAGAACATTACACACCTGTAACAACCATGGGAACATTACACACCTGTGACAACCATGAGAACATTACACACCTGTAACAACCATGGGGACATTACACACCTGTGACAACCATGAGAACATTACACACCTGTGACAACCATGAGAACATTACACACCTGTGACAACCATGAGAACATTACACACCTTTAACAACCATGGGAACATTACACACCTTTGACAACCATGAGAACATTACACACCTGTGAAAATCATGGGAACATTACACACCTGTGACAACCATGGGAACATTACACACCTGTGACCACCATGAGAACATTACACACCTGTGACAACCATGAGAACATTACACACCTGTAACAACAATGGGAACATTACACACCTGTGACAACCATGAGAACATTACACACCTGTGACAACCATGAGAACATTACACACCTGTGACAACCATGGGGACATTACACACCTTTGACAACCATGAGAACATTACACACCTGTGACAACCATGGGGACATTACACACCTGTGGCAACCATGAGAACATTACACACCTGTGACCACCATGAGAACATTACACACCTGTGACAACCATGAGAACATTACACACCTGTAACAACAATGGGAACATTACACACCTGTGACAACCATGAGAACATTACACACCTGTGACAACCATGAGAACATTGCACACCTGTGACAACCATGGGGACATTACACACCTTTGACAACCATGAGAACATTACACACCTGTGACAACCCTGATATAACAATTCATTTTGTTCTCCTGGGAAGGACTAACTGTTCATAATTTACTACAATATATACCACAAGTACGAAGCAGACTTTGGTCAGTGTTATGACTGATACTCTCCTTGTTGTTGTCAGGTCAATACAGCTCTCTCCGACACATGTCTACAGCTCTCTCCGACACATATCTACGAGCAGACATGTGTCACCTTACTGACCCGTGACGGGAGGAGACCTGGACATATCCCTGGACCTGGAACGGGCGTCAGCTAGTTGACAGACTCAGTCTTTGGAGGTAGGGAAGCCAGTCTATCATCCCCAGGATATTGGGAGACATTTTCTGGGCGACTTGTGTCGACCTGGAGGATGAGGGGTCAATCCTTCACCTTGTGGGTGTTGCAGGACGGCGGTTTGTCAAGCCTAGAACTGTCAATGGCATGTTTGTGCTCCCCCGGGTGACATGCTGATGTTAAGACATGCTCCCCCGGGTGACATGCTGATGTTAAGACATGCTCCCCCGGGTGACATGCTGATGTTAAGACATGCTCCCCCGGGTGACATGCTGATGTTAAGACATGCTCCCCCGGGTGACATGCTGATGTAAAGACATGCTCCCCCGGGTGACATGCTGATGTTAAGACATGCTCCCCCGGGGGAGACAAGCAGCGGTGGGACCAACCCATTAAACAGACTCCCAATTGCCTTGAGAAGCTCAGGAACTACGATAGTGTGGTAACCACAGGAGTATAACCATGGAGTATAACCACGGGAGTATAACCACAGGAGTATAACCACAGGATATAAAGTAAGCAGATATATAACCAAGTTCAATAAAGCAAATGAACTTGAAGAATGGGTACTAGAAGAAAACCTAGACATAATAGCATTCGCAGAAACAAAGCTAACGAAAACAATAACAAATGCAGTGTTCCCACAGGACTATTATGTTATGAGGAAATAGAGAGAAGGAAGAGGAGGTGGTGGTGTAGCTCTGCTGGTAAGAAAATGATGGGGTTTTGTGGAGATGGTTGTACAGGGATGCGAAGGTTTCAGTGACTAAATAACAGGTACCATAACAACTGATGGCCAGAAAACTAAAGTCGTAGTCATATATAATCCACCACCAAATGACAGAAGACCCAGACAGGAATATGATAGAAACAACATTGCCACCATTAACTTAATAGAGAGAGCAGCTTCTGTTACTAGCAGGAATGGATCTGGACTACTAATTATGAGAGACTTCAACCATGGAAGATAGATTGGGAAAACAGAGATCAGCATGGAGGACCAGAAATATGGAGAGCTACGCTGCTGGACGTGGCAACAAGACACTTTCTAAGCCAGCACATCAAGGAACCAACAAGAATGAGAGGAGAAGATAAACCAGCCATGCTCGATCTGATATTTACCCTAAATGAGTGGGATATAAGCGAAGTCAAGATGGAAGCGCCCTTGGGAATGAGTGACCACAGTGTATTGAACTTTGAGTATCTTGTAGAGCTAGGAATTATCTCCCCCCCAAAAAACTAGGAAACAAAAGGCTGGCGTACCGAAAGGGGAACTATGTGGAGATGAGAAGTTTCATAAGGGAAATACCATGGGACACAGACCTCAGAGCTAAGTCTCTACAAGATATGATGGACTATGTCACCCAAAAGTGTCAGGAGGCAGTAAACTGGTTCATCCCGGCCCAAAGGGAAAAATCCGAGAAGCAAAAGAAGAATCCATGGTATAATACGGCATGTATGGAAGCAAAGAAACTGAACAAAAGGTCGTGGAGGAACTTCCGGAATAACAGAACACCAGAAAGCAGAGAGAGATACCAGAGAACCAGGAATGAGTACGTCAGGGTGAGAAGAGAAGCAGAGAAAAGTTTTGAAAATAATATAGCAAACAAAGCCAAGACCGAACCAAAGCTACTCCACAGTCACAACAGAAGGAAAACAACAGTGAAAGAACAGGTATTGAAACTTAGAACAGGCGAGGACAGATATACAGAGAATGACAGAGAGGTGTGTGAAGAACTCAACAAGAGGTTCCAGGAGGTCTTCACAATAGAACAAGGTGAGGTCACTGTGCTAGGAGAAAGGGAGGTAAACCAGGCAGCCTTGGAAGAGTTCGAAATTATGAGAGAGGAGGTCAAGAGACACCTGCTGGATCTGGATGTTAGAAAGGCTGTTGGTCCAGACGGGATCTCACCATGGATACTGAAAGAGTGAGCAGAGGCACTTTGCTTGCCAGTCTCCATAGTGTATAGTAAGTCACTGGAGACGGGAGACCTACCAGAAATATGGAAGACGGCGAATGTGGTCCCAATATACAAAAAGGGCGACAGGCAAGAGGCACTGAACTACGGGCCAGTTGTGGGATATCTGGGGCTTGACTCATATATTCAATTATTTGCTTATTGTATTTAAATAGATCGAAGGACCACCCACTTTTGAGAAAAGAGGGAAAACGAATAAAAGTGATCATTAGAATAACACTAGAGAACCAGTGTGTATGGATACTAATTAAATGAATAATCACTTGAAATAATGAATAGACTGTATTATTAATTAATTAAAGTCAAAACCTCAAATATCAACATTGGGGGGGGGGTATTTCTAGAAGTTCATATATATCTAGGAACCAGTGTGGTTCGTCACTAGTTCATTGTTGAGTTAATAACATAATAAATCTAAACTACAATAGATTCAAAGATATGATAACAAATTATGAATATTAAAGATTATGAATTATTAAGCAACAGTAAGAGCAAAACACATTAATTACCAATCATCATTTCTGGCAATAATCTCTTCAATGTAAAATTCCTATATGAATTATATAGAAATCAGTAATAATACTAGATAAATTTGTACGAAAAAAGGGTCTTAGCTGTAAGACGATTTCTGTAACGCCATTTCGTCATTCGTCCTCGTGGTCACAGGATCCTAATAAAGAAAGAACCCGAGGTGAATATCACGAATGATGAGAAACAACTTGTCGACTCCTCGTATACACGCTGAAATCAGAGAAATTTAAGTAGCATTTCATTAGGCTACGATTTATTTCAAATATTCATGAAAACGGAGAAATTGTCGTAAGTCTACTAACGTTGTGTATTAGGTATCCTTGCTGTATAACGACAGACTACTCATAAATATAAAATCTAGGATGATGCATCAAACGAGAATGGTATACTTAACATGAGCGTATTAAATACTGAGGTCTGCCGAAACCGCGTCAGCCAGTCCCAGGCGTCCACTGCTGTGTACGTGTAATTACGGGTCGTGGCTTCAATTGTTGACGCGTTATTAACTGGCCGGGCACTATAGAACACGTGGCTAAGTAATTATTAACTGTTGACCAGGTATCAACGTAATTCTTGTCGATAAACTCCCCAGTCACTACCACGTGTCTCGCCACTCTTCACGCCAGGGATGCCTCCTCTCTCTCAATGGCGTCTCCGCCTTCCCTCAACCCATCTCTCGCATTCACCACAGAAATTATTAATCACGAATAATTCTTTTCCGCGCAATTATGGATGTAATACGTTAATGAGAACTGGGTTGCAATTATAGGGACATAAATATTATCATATTCTCGTTTTATGGTGTTAAACGAGAAATGGAGAAGATTTTATTTTCTCCATGGAATTCGCACGTAACAGATACAACTGCTACTTGATAACAATTTTAGTTAATAACTCTCGGTTTTAGATTATCGGGAGTCATATTATCCGTAAGTAATTATTACACGGAATACTGATAATTTTAGAGAACCACATTCAATTCTCTAACACATTGGTAATAAACGTGTCTAACTAGACATTATCTGACGCAATGTTGCTACTCGATTTCATGAGAATTCTAGCACTAATACGCAGATGAAATGGTTTAATTTATGTTGACACTACCATTAGTGAAATTAATAACTACTGTAGTTAGTATATAATGATAAGGATTTATTATAATACAATAGTAGTTTATTAGTGTTGGAAATTTCCAACACCAGTGTCCTAAACTTGTATACCATGCAAGGTGGTGGAGAAGATCATGAGAAAAAACCTGGTAGCACATCTGGAGAGAAGGGACTTCGTGACAAATTGCCAACATGGGTTCAGGGAGGGTAAATCTTGCCTTACAGACTTGATAGAATTCTACGATCAGGTGACAAAGATTAAGCAAGAAAGAGAGGGCTGGGCGGACTGCATTTTCTTGGATTGTTGGAAGGCCTTTGACACAGTACCGCATAAGAGGCTGGTACATAAGCTGGAGAGACAGGCAGGTGTAGCTGGTAAGGTGCTCCAGTGGATAAGGGAGTACCTAAGCAATAGGAAGCAGAGAGTTACGGTGAGGGGTGAGACCTCCGATTGGCGTGAAGTCCCCAGTGAAGTCCCACAGGGCTCTGTACTCGGTCCTATCTTGTTTCTGATATATGTAAATGATCTCCCGGAGGGTATCGATTCATTTCTCTCAATGTTTGCGGGCGATGCTAAAATTATGAGAAGGATTAAAACAGAAGAGGACTGTTTGAGGCTTCAAGAAGACCTAGACAAGCTGAAGGAATGGTCGAACAAATGGTTGTTAGAGTTTAACCCAACCAAATGTAATGTAATGAAGATAGGTGTAGGGAGCAGGAGGCCAGATACAAGGTATCATCTGGGAGAGGAAATTCTTCAGGAGTCAGAGAAAGAAAAAGACTTGGGGGTTGATATCACGCCAGACATGTCTCCTGCAGCACATATCAAGAGGATAACATCAGCGGCATATGCCAGGCTGGCCAACATACGAACGGCATTCAGAAACTTGTGTAAAGAATCATTTAGAACTTTGTATACCACATATGTCAGGCCAATCCTGGAGTATGCAGCCCCAGCATGGAGTTCATATCTAGTCAAGGATAAGACTAAACTGGAAAAGGCTCAAAGGTTTGCCACCAGACTAGTACCCGAGCTGAGAGGTATGAGCTACGAGGAGAGACTACGGGAATTAAACCTCACTTCGCTGGAAGACAGAAGAGTTAGGGGGGGACATGATCACCACATTCAAGATTCTGAAGGGAATTGATAGGGTAGATAAAGACAGGCTATTTAACACAAGGGGCATACGCACAAGGGGACTTCGGTGGAAATTGAGTGCCCAAATGAGCCACAGAGATATTAGAAAGAACTTTTTTAGTGTCAGAGTGGTTGACAAATGGAATGCATTAGGAAGTGATGTGGTGGAGGCTGACTCCATACACAGTTTCAAGTGTAGATATAATAGAGCCCAATAGGCTCAGGAACCTGTACACCTGTTGATTGACGGTTGAGAGGCGGGACCAAAGAGCCAGAGCTCAACCCCCGCAAACACAACTAGGTGAGTACTAGGTGAGTACAGGAGTATAACCACAGGAGTATACCTACAGGAGTAAATCCACAGGAGTATAACCACAGGAGTATAACTACAGGAGTAAATCCACAGGAGTATAACCACAGGAGTATAACTACAGGAGTATAACCACAGGAGTAAACCCACAGGCGTATAACCACGGTAGTGTAACCACAGGATTATAACAACAGGAGTATAACCACACGAGTATACCCACACGAGTATAACCACAGGAGCATAACCACAAGAGTAACCACAGGAGTTCCAACAGGAGTATAACCACAGAAGTATACCCATAGAAGTATAACCACAGAAACAGCCTAAGTTACTCTAACCCTTTGAGATATATTTCTTTCTAGTCTCAATAAACATACTTAAACTTGAACTTGAACACAGGAGTATAACCACAGGAGTTTACCCCCGGAATATGACCACAGGAGTTTACCCCCGGAATATGACCACAGGAGTATAACAACAAGGGTTTAACCACAGGAGTAAACATAGAGTATAACAGGAGTATATCCACAAGAGTAACCACTGGAGTAACCACAGGAGTATAACCACAGGAGTATAACCACAGGAAAAACCCCAGGAGTATAGCCACAGAAGTATAACAACAGGAGTTTAACCACAAGAGTATAACCACAGGAGTAACTAAAGGAGTATAACCACAGGAGTATAACCACAGGAGTATAACTACAGGAGTATAACCACAGGAGTACAACCACACGAGTATAACCACAGGAGTATAACCACAGAAGTATAACCACAGGAGTATAACCACAGGAGTAACTAAAGGAGTATAACCACAGGAGTATAACCACAGGAGTATAACTACAGGAGTATAAACCACAGGAGTATAACCACACGAGTATAACCACAGCAGTATAACCACAGGAGTAACTAAAGGAGTATAACCACAGGAATATAACCACAGGAGTATAACAACAGGAGTATAAACCACAGGAGTATAACCACACGAGTATAACTACAGGATTACAACCACACGAGTATTATTACTGGAGTATATTCTCTTTCTGTTCGTGTTTCTAATGTTTCTCCCCGTGTTGTTCCTTCTTTGCCCCCGTGGAGAGTCCCCCTTCCGCAGTTTTGTACTTCCTTGACCCGCATCACTAAAGCTCTTACCCCTCCTACGGTTCTAAAACGCCTTTTCCTCGAGCACTTTTCTTCTCACTCCCGCTCCGTTTCTGTCTTCACCGATGGGTCTAAGTCTGCGGACGGTGTTGGCTACTCTGTTGTTTTTCCTGATCGCACTTATATGTGTCGCTTACCTCCGGAGACTAGCATCTTTACGGCGGAGCTTTATGCTATTCTCTATGCTCTTCGTCTCCTGCTTTCTCGTTGTCAGTCTTCCTTTGTAGTTGTTGTTGACTCTCGTAGTGCCTTCATGGCTCTCGGGTCCTTTAATCCGGTTCATCCAGTAGTTGTCGAGATCCAGCATTGGCTGTTTCTTGTTCACAGTAAATTTAAGTCGGTTGAGTTTTGTTGGGTTCCCAGCCATATTGGTGTCTCTCTAAATGAGCGTGTTAATGCTGCCGCTAGGGAAGCTGTCCGCTCTTGTCCCTTCTCTCATAACGGTATTCCTTATTCCGACTTTTACCCGGCTATCAATTCCTGCAACCTTACCCATTAGCAGGCTTGTTGGTCGTCTGTTACTGGTAACAAACTACGTACTCTTAAGAGTTGTGTGTCCACGTGGCCGTCCTCCTACCACCGTAGGAGGACGGTGGGAAACGGCTCTGGCGAGGTTGCGTATTGGCCATACTCGCTTAACTCATAGTCACTTGATGGCGCGCCGCCCTGCTCCTTATTGTCCTAATTGCATTGTCCCTCTTACAGTCGTGCATATCCTTGTTGAATGTCCTGACTTCCGGGACGAGCGTGTCTTATTTTCCGACTGTCCCCCACGGTCGCTTGTCCCTGGATAGAATTCTTGATGAATCGAATACTTTTGATATCGTCCGCCTTAGGCATTTCTGTTCTGGCACTGGCATCCTTGGTGATATTTAGCGCCCTCTGATTATCCCGCACATGTGATGGTGCTACATAACCTTCCCGGTTTGGTGCCTTCTTTTGATAATTACTTACTGGAGTATAACCACACGAGTATAATCACAGGAGTAACCACAAAGTATAAAAGGAGTATAACCCCAGGAGTAACCACAGAATTATAATTACACGAGTATAAATAAAGAAGGACAACCACACGAGTATATCCACAGGAGTATAACCACAGGAGTAACCACAAATGTATAACAGGAGTAACCACAAATGTATAACAGGAGTATTACCCCAGGAGTAACCCCAAAGTATAACAGGAGTAACCACAAAGTATAACAGGAGTAACCACAAAGTATAACAGGAGTAACCACAAAGTATAACAGGAATATAACTACAGGAGTATCCCCACAGGAGTATAACTGCAGTTATATAGAAACAGCAGTAACCACAGGAGTATACACAGGAGTATAACCCCAGGAGCATACCCACAGGAGTAACTACTGGAGTATATTAAAAGGAATATAAAAAATGGAGTATAACCACAGAAGTAACCACAGGAGTATAACCACAGGAGAATAACCTCAAGAGTATAACCACAGGAGTATAACCACAGGAGTAACCACTGCAGTATAACCACTGGAGTAAAACCACTGGAGTATAACCACAGGAGTATACCCACAGGAGTATACCCACAGGAGTATATCCACAGGAGAATAACCACAGGAGTATAAACACAGGAGTATAACATCAGGAGTATAACCACAGAAGTATAACCACAGGCCTACAACCACACAAGTATAATACCAGGAGTATAACCACAAGCGTAACCACAGGAGTAACTACAGGTGTATAACCACAGGAGTATAACCACAGGAATAACCACAGGAGTAACCACTGGAGAATAACCACAGAAGTATAACCAAAGGATTATAACCATTGGAGTATGCCCACAGGAGTAACCACTGGAGAATAACCACAGAAGTATAACCAAAGGATTATAACCATTGGAGTATGCCCACAGGAGTAACCACTGGAGTATAACCACAGAAGTATAACCAAAGGATTATAACCATTGGAGTATGCCCACAGGAGTAACCACTGGAGAATAACCACAGAAGTATAACCAAAGGATTATAACCATTGGAGTATGCCCACAGGAGTAACCACTGGAGTATAACCACAGAAGTATAACCAAAGGATTATAACCATTGGAGTATGCCCACAGGAGTAACCACTGGAGTATAACCACAGAAGTATAACCAAAGGATTATAACCATTGGAGTATGCCCACAGGAGTAACCACTGGAGTATAACCACAGAAGTATAACCAAAGGATTATAACCATTGGAGTATGCCCACAGGAGTAACCACTGGAGTATAACCGCAGGAGCTGGGAAGAACCCGAATATACGTCTCTCATGGTGACTGACTTGGGGCCAATTACAGATCAGTTGGGACAACCGAATTCCAGGGTCCTGTGCGCAGTGCAAGCAGTAACAGCTTCCTGGTTGGCCGCAGGTTCCGGTGAGTTAACGAAGGAGAAGCGAGGGAGGCAGTTGTGCTGAGGGATGTGTCACAGCAACCCGTCCTCTTAAAAATAACGTCACTTTTGGCTGGTATGCGCGGCGCTATGGCCAAATTTGGACGTAATTTGAAATGAAATCGACTCACAAAAGTGATGTTCTGTTCCGTTTTCTATTTGAGTCGTCCGGCCTACGCGCAGAGGTCATAAGAGGACACTTTAAATTAACGTTTTTCATAACGTTTTGAAACTTTATGAGAATTTCCTGCCCACCTAACCTATCAGAGGACCCTTAACTTACTGTCGTTGTAAAAAAAATCCCAAATTTATTTTCATATTTTTTTCATTTTCAAATTACGTCCAAATTCGGCCATACGGGCAAACGGCCAAAAGCGACGTTCTTTTTAAGATGACAGGTTGTCCCAGGACTATCTACAAGACCAAGCAGTGATGTCACCCAGCCAGAGACAATGGACGTCTCTCTTCATATTTAATATTTAATTATTTAGAGAAGGATGATGTATATTTGTTTAGCTAGGATGTAGTTTTTAAGTTAATAAAGTTGTCGCACACAGTTAACCACAGGAGTAGCCACAGGAGTATAACAATAGGAGTATAACCACTGGATTATAACCACAGGAGTTGTAAAAATAGGAGTATAACCACAGGAGTAACCACAGGAGTATAACCACAGGAGTATTACCACAGGAATAACCTCAGGAATATAACCAAAGTAGTACAACCACATGATTATAACGACAGGAGTATACCCACACGAGTATTACCACAGGAGTACAAACACACGAGTATAAGAACAGACGTATAACCACACGAGTATAAGTATAACCACACCACAGAAGTATATAACCACAGAAGTATATAACCACAGAAGTATAACCACAGCAGTAACCACAGCAGTAACCACAGCAGTAACCACGGGAGTAACTACAGCAGTAACCACGGGAGTAACCACAGCAGTAACCACAGCAGTAACCACAGCAGTAACCACGGGAGTAACCACAGCAGTAACCACAGCAGTAACCACAGCAGTAACCACAGCAGTAACCACGGGAGTTACCACGGGAGTTACCACAGCAGTAACCACGGGAGTAACCACAGCAGTAACCACAGCAGTAACCACAGCAGTAACCACAGGAGTAACTACAGCAGTAACCACGGGAGTAACCACAGCAGTAACCACAGCAGTAACCACAGCAGTAACCACAGCAGTAACCACGGGAGTAACCACAGCAGTAACCACAGCAGTAACCACGGGAGTTACCACGGGAGTTACCACAGCAGTAACCACAGCAGTAACCACGGGAGTAACCACAGCAGTAACCACAGGAGTAACTACAGCAGTAACCACGGGAGTAACCACAGCAGTAACCACAGCAGTAACCACAGCAGTAACCACGGGAGTAACCACAGCAGTAACCACAGCAGTAACCACGGGAGTAACTACGGGAGTAACCACAGCAAAAACCACAGCAGTAACCACAGGAGTAACTACAGCAGTAACCACAGCAGTAACCACAGCAGTAACCACGGGAGTAACCACAGCAGTAACCACAGCAGTAACCACGGGAGTAACCACAGCAGTAACCACAGCAGTAACCACAGCAGTAACCACAGCAGTAACCACGGGAGTAACCACAGCAGTAACCACAGCAGTAACCACAGCAGTAACCACAGCAGTAACCACAGCAGTAACCACGGGAGTAACCACAGCAGTAACCACAGCAGTAACCACACCAGTAACCACACCAGTAACCACACCAGTAACCACAGCAGTAACCGCAGCAGTAACCACAGCAGTAACCGCAGCAGTAACCACAGCAGTAACCCCAGCAGTAACCACAGCAGTAACTACAGGAGTAAGATACAAAGTGTGATGTATTAGCAGAAAGAAAATTTTGCCAAATTAATGGTTTTCTTTTAATGTTTACTTTATAAAACTTTTTCTGGGATTGGAAAATATTCTCCATAAATCCCCGCAGTGAGGTGAGGATTACTGTTAACGTGTCAGTGTTCGCGTAATGAACATAAGGCTGACTGAGGGCTATGAGCTGAATTTCCAGATATTTACAGTTTCTCTGTTGTGACTGATGTGTTAAGTGTGGTAATATGGCGGTAAAGTGATCATTTAAGTGCGCGTACTGGACGGAAAGTTAATAATATAATGTGACCCATACTGTTGCTTAGATAGAACCTATTGTAGCGAGCGTCATTGTACGTTGAACGAACGTTGAACGAACGTAAAAGCTAAGAACGTACGAACGTTCGTCATTGTACATTGAACGAACGTTCGTACGTTCTTAGCTTTTACATAGTGTTCTACTAAATAGTACGGAATTCTTTTTCAAATAAATGATGCTAAAACAAAACCTTAAATATTCCTAGGCCTTGTATAGCACATATATGTACTATATAAGGCCTCATATGTTGTGTATTAGACTCAGGAAGGTTAGGATAGCCCTAACCAGATATAAACACATAAACTTAAGAATTAGTGATACCAGTCTAATAAGTTTGTGTAAGTTTACCAAAATATTAACTTAAAATATTAGTGCTAACTTGAGTGACATCGATGACCAAGAGGCAAGTTGAGAAATATTAAACACTTTTAAATTTATATATTATATGTTTGTTATATATTATATGTTTATATATTATATGTTTATATATTTATATGTTTGTTTCCGTCGGTGTGAGAAAATTTGTTTTTTTCTAACACTTCTTTGATTTAATTTATTAATATTTTATCAAGACTAAAACCATGTCGAGGAGATACAGCTGTAGAGGAGATACAGCTGTAGAGGAGATACAGCTGTCGAGGAGATACAGCTGTAGAGGAGATACAGCTGTAGAGGAGATACAGCTGTCGAGGAGATACAGCTGTAGAGGAGATACAGCTGTAGAGGAGATACAGCTGTCGAGGAGATACAGCTGTAGAGGAGATACAGCTGTAGAGGAGATACAGCTGTAGAGGAGATACAGCTGTAGAGGAGATACAGCTGTAGAGGAGATACAGCTGTCGAGGAGATACAGCTGTAGAGGAGATACAGCTGTAGAGGAGATACAGCTGTAGAGGAGATACAGCTGTAGAGGAGATACAGCTGTAGAGGAGATACAGCTGTAGAGGAGATACAGCTGTAGAGGAGACACAGCTGTCGAGGAGATACAGCTGTCGAGGAGATACATCTGTCGAGGAGGTACAGCTGTAGAGGAGATACAGCTGTCGAGGAGGTACAGCTGTAAAGGAGATACAGCTGTAGAGGAGATATAGCTGTAGAGGAGATACAGCTGTCGAGGAGATACAGCTGTAGAGGAGATACATCTGTCGAGGAGGTAAAGCTGTCGAGGAGATACAGCTGTCGAGGAGATACATCTGTCGAGGAGATACAGCTGTAGAGGAGGTACAGCTGTAGAGGAGATACAGCTGTAGAGGAGATACAGCTGTCGAGGAGATACAGCTGTCGAGGAGATACATCTGTCGAGGAGGTACAGCTGTAGAGGAGATACAGCTGTCGAGGAGATACAGCTGTAGAGGAGATACAGCTGTAGAGGAGATACAGCTGTCGAGGAGATACAGCTGTAGAGGAGATACAGCTGTAGAGGAGATACAGCTGTCGAGGAGATACAGCTGTAGAGGAGATACAGCTGTAGAGGAGATACAGCTGTAGAGGAGATACAGCTGTAGAGGAGATACAGCTGTAGAGGAGATACAGCTGTAGAGGAGACACAGCTGTCGAGGAGATACAGCTGTCGAGGAGATACATCTGTCGAGGAGGTACAGCTGTAGAGGAGATACAGCTGTCGAGGAGGTACAGCTGTAAAGGAGATACAGCTGTAGAGGAGATATAGCTGTAGAGGAGATACAGCTGTCGAGGAGATACAGCTGTAGAGGAGATACATCTGTCGAGGAGGTAAAGCTGTCGAGGAGATACAGCTGTCGAGGAGATACATCTGTCGAGGAGGTACAGCTGTCGAGGAGATACAGCTGTCGAGGAGATACAGCTGTAGAGGAGATACATCTGTCGAGGAGATACAGCTGTCGAGGAGATACATCTGTCGAGGAGGTACAGCTGTAGAGGAGATACAGCTGTAGAGGAGATACAGCTGTCGAGGAGGTACAGCTGTAGAGGAGATACAGCTGTAGAGGAGATACAGCTGTCGAGGAGGTACAGCTGTAGAGGAGATACAGCTGTAGAGGAGATACAGCTGTAGAGGAGATACAGCTGTAGAGGAGATACAGCTGTAGAGGAGATACAGCTGTCGAGGAGATACAGCTGTAGAGGAGGTACAGCTGTAGAGGAGATACAGCTGTCGAGGAGGTACAGCTGTAGAGGAGATACAGCCGTAGAGGAGATACAGCTGTAGAGGAGATACAGCTGTCGAGGAGATACAGCTGTAGAGGAGATACAGCTGTAGAGGAGATACAGCTGTAGAGGAGATACAGCTGTCGAGGAGATACAGCTGTAGAGGAGATACATCTGTCGAGGAGGTACAGGTGTCGAGGAGATACAGCTGTAGAGGAGATACAGCTGTCGATTAGATACATCTGTCGAGGAGGTACAGCTGTAGAGGAGATACAGCTGTAGAGGAGATACCGCTGTCGAGGAGATACAGCTGTAGAGGAGATACAGCTGTAGAGGAGATACAGCTGTAGAGGAGATACAGCTGTCGAGGAGATACAGCTGTAGAGGAGATACATCTGTCGAGGAGGTACAGCTGTCGAGGAGATACAGCTGTAGAGGAGATATAGCTGTCGAGGAGATACAGCTGTAGAGGAGATACTGCTGTAGAGGAGATACAGCTGTAGAGGAGATACAGCTGTAGAGGAGATACAGCTGTAGACGAGATACAGCTGTAGAGGAGATACATTTGTGAAGGGTCACGTACCACAGCACCCACCCTACCTGACACCTGTGGCAGGGTCACTATAACACGTGCACCAGAGGATCGCGGGTGACACACATGTGACACATGTATGTGTCACATGTGTCACCCGCACGGACACTCCCCCACAACTAAGGGTCGATCCAAGTTAATTGATTCCCATGAAGCAAAATGGAATTGTTCCGAACACAAATAAAATTCTCAGTCAAAATAACTGGGAAAAGTAAAATAGTTCTTAATATTTCCACTCCACACCTGGTGCTGACGGCGTCTGGTGGCCCACACCTGGTGCTGACGGCGTCTGGTGGCCCACACCTGGCGCTGACGGCGTCTGGTGGCCCACACCTGGCGCTGATGGCGTCTGGTGGCCCACGCCTGGCGCTGATGGCGTCTGGTGGTCCACACCTGGTGCTGACGGCGTCTGGTGGCCCACACCTGGTGCTGACGGCGTCTGGTGGCCCACACCTGGTGCTGATGGCGTCTGGTGGCCCACACCTGGTGCTGACGGCGTCTGGTGGCCCACACCTGGTGCTGACGGCGTCTGGTGGCCCACACCTGGTGCTGACGGCGTCTGGTGGCCCACACCTGGTGCTGATGGCGTCTGGTGGCCCACACCTGGTGCTGATGGCGTCTGGTGGCCCACACCTGGTGCTGATGGCGTCTGGTGGCCCACACCTGGTGCTGATGGCGTCTGGTGGTCCACACCTGGTGCTGACGGCGTCTGGTGGTCCACACCTGGTGCTGACGGCGTCTGGTGGTCCACACCTGGTGCTGACGGCGTCTGGTGGTCCACACCTGGTGCTGACGGCGTCTGGTGGTCCACACCTGGTGCTGACGGCGTCTGGTGGCCCACACCTGGCGCTGACGGCGTCTGGTGGCCCACACCTGGCGCTGACGGCGTCTGGTGACCCACACCTGGCGCTGACGGCGTCTGGTGACCCACACCTGGCGCTGACGGCGTCTGGTGGCCCACACCTGGCGCTGACGGCGTTGTGGAGGTCCACATCTGGCGCTGGTCTGGTGACCCACACCTGGCGCTGACCTGGCGCTGACGGGCGTCTGACGGCGTCTGCTGGGCCACACCTGGCGCTGACGGCGTTCTGGAGGTCCACAGCTGGCGCTGACGGCGTCTGGTGATCCACACCTGGCGCTGACGGCGTCTGGTGACCCACACCTGGCGCTGACGGCGTCTGGTGACCCTCACCTGGCGCTGACGGCGTCTGGTGACCCACACCTGGCGCTGACGGCGTCTGGTGGCCCACACCTGGCGCTGACGGCGTCTGGTGACCCACACCTGGCGCTGACGGCGTCTGGTGGCCCACACCTGGCGCTGACGGCGTCTGGTGACCCACACCTGGCGCTGACGGCGTCTGGTGGCCCACACCTGGCGCTGACGGCGTCTGGTGACCCACACCTGGTGCTGACGGCGTCTGGTGACCCACACCTGGCGCTGACGGCGTCTGGTGGCCCACACCTGGCGCTGACGGCGTCTGGTGACCCACACCTGGCGCTGACGGCGTCTGGTGGCCCACACCTGGCGCTGACGGCGTCTGGTGACCCTCACCTGGCGCTGACGGCGTCTGGTGGTCCACACCTGGTGCTGACGGCGTCTGGTGGTCCACACCTGGCGCTGACGGCGTCTGGTGACCCACACCTGGCGCTGACGGCGTCTGTTGGCCCACACCTGGCGCTGACGGCGTCTGGTGACCCACACCTGGCGCTGACGGCGTCTGGTGGCCCACACCTGGCGCTGACGGCGTTGTGATGGGCAACACCACACACCGTCCGATTGATGGTGTCTTTACCCAAATGTGTCCGTCTTGATAATGTTCATCTGCCTATCAATGATAATATAAGCATAAGCTACTGAATTATCACATGTTTCTGATAATGATCAGAAACACGATCCTTGGGTTGACTCGATCCAACATACAATCAAAGTCATAAAAACACATATGACTTGGGGCATAACCTCAACTGTAGTACGAAAAGTGATTTTCC